TGTGTGTGTGTGTGTGTGTGTGTGTGTGTGTGTGTGTGTGTGTGTGTTGCTCCACAGGGAACCTGGCTAGTACACTTGGTCAGCACAAAGGTCCCATTTTTGCCCTTAAGTGGAACAAAAAAGGCAATTTTATCCTGAGTGCAGGAGTAGACAAGGTAAAGCAGCTCTAAATCAACGTGTTGAATACCTGCTAGCATGACCTCTCATGTACCGTTTTAATAAGTTGATCAAATAACTGCACTGTGTAGTCATTGTTAGCTCTAACTATACATGTGCATGTGTCCTGCCAGACAACAATCATATGGGATGCCCATACAGGAGAAGCCAAACAACAGTTTCCCTTCCATTCAGGTACAGCAGCATCACTTCTTGTCACTTAAGAATTATTTTCAAGCTTCGCATTTTGATCTCGCTAACGTCCGTCTTTCCGTCCCCCTCAGCTCCGGCACTAGACGTTGATTGGCAGAGCAACAACACGTTTGCCTCCTGTAGTACGGACATGTGCATCCACGTCTGTAAACTGGGACAGGACCGACCCATTAAAACATTCCAGGGACACACAGTAAGTGGAGTGTTTGTCTATGTAGTGACACATGTGTAACTTCTGAAGGAATAGAAAAAGGTGTTACTGTCACTGTTCACAGGGATATTTGGTCTAAACTGCTTTGGATGAGGGTATTTGTTAGCATTAACCTGGATCCAGGGTTAACATAAATCAAGATACTGTACATGCATCACAGACAAGGTCTCTCTCTTCTCTCTCTCCAGAATGAAGTAAATGCAATCAAGTGGGATCCCACAGGGAACCTGCTCGCCTCCTGCTCAGACGACATGACGTTGAAGGTGAGAGAGAAACACAGTCTGAGACGGCCGCTATCGCTGCTACCATAAAGAAAAGTAATGATGAGTTAATGATGACTGGGGATTCGGGAAAGTCCACCTCAGTGGCACTTACAGGGGAAATTTGAAGCTGCGGCTGAATATTTATCTTCGTCCATAATGTCCTCTGCACTCACATTTCGGGAAGCCATTTCTGCTGTTGGAAACACAACAACAAGTTCTGTTTTTGAGTGACAGATTTTGAGTTCCCCATGCTCATCGAGAGGAAGATGCTATCCTAAGATTATTCCCGCTTTGCTCTGTAAAAACCCAAACATCTTCTTCTTTTGGGCAGCCATTTAGTTCACGTCTCTTAGGGAGGAGGCAGGACGTGTGTGTGTGTGTGTGTGTGTGTGTGTGTGTGTGTGTGTGTGTGTGCGTGTTGACACACTAGTGATGTAATGATCAACCACAGTGGGTACAAGGATAACGTTCTGTGGTTTGTTTTCAGATCTGGAGTATGAAGCAGGACTCGTGTGTCCATGACCTGCAGGCCCACAGTAAAGAAATCTACACCATCAAATGGAGTCCCACCGGGCCTGGAACCAACAACCCCAGCGCCAATCTCATGCTAGCTAGGTGAGCGTCTGTTAGCCAAAGCTAACGCGTGGAGCAGTGTTTCACACTCTGCTGGAGCCAAAACAATCTGCACACGTCTGTCTTTAAGTTTTGATTGAGCGCAGCAGAGAAGCAGAGTGCATTACTTTGCCCTGGTAATCTAAACTTTGCACAATACTCTTTATAAGTGCACATTTTGCACAATTAAGCTCCATTTTCCGAACATCAGCACCTCTTTAACCCCGTCTGTCCCGGTGTCTTACTTCCACAGTGCATCGTTTGACTCCACAGTTCGTCTTTGGGACGTGGAGAGAGGCATCTGTATCCACACGCTGACTAAGCACCAGGAGCCCGTCTACAGCGTGGCTTTCAGCCCCGATGGTCGGCATCTGGCCAGTGGCTCCTTTGACAAATGCGTGCACATCTGGAATACACAGGTACGGAGAACGAGGGGGGGGGGGGGGGCGTGTTTGTGACCGGTTCACCTTAAGACAGTGTCCATACCTTTTTATTGAACGTGTCACTTCACTGATCCCTCTGTGCTTTCATTTTGTACAGTGTACACAGATTTTAGGAATCATTTTTGTGCTGAAAGTGGTACTTCAAAGCTGCACCACCAAATATTAGTTATATTAACGGCTTGAATGTGTAACAAACCAAGAAACATTTTATAGTGTAAGCTTGTCATCCAATAATTTTCCAGCTGCAGCATTTTTCATTGAACAAAGTTTTAATAAACCAACTGCAGCTAAAGAGACCGAGTTGAATGTTGGGCTCACGTTCACCAGGTGAACAGACGCTTAGCTGCTGCCCCCATGTGGCCAAAAATATAATGCAACTACAGCAGTTTTAAGGCTCCTGCTGTGTTGTTTTATGTTGTTTTTTTTCTTCCCGTAAACGGCCCAAAACCTAATATCTGTCCCCCCTCTCTTTGTGCTACAGACGGGCGCTCTAGTCCACAGTTACAGAGGGACGGGAGGAATCTTTGAGGTTTGCTGGAATGCAGCGGGGGACAAAGTGGGAGCCAGCGCATCAGACGGATCTGTAAGTACACGCCGGACTGTTTGGGTGGATGTTCTCAAGCTTTTATTGTGAAGGTTTTTGATATCCGTCCTCTTCTCGTCCCAGGTGTGTGTACTAGACCTTCGGAAATAGTGCCGCTGTTTGTTGGAAGCCATGGACCGACCATGAATGTGTACATAGCCAAATGACTGTCCCTGCCTGCCCTGCGTACTGCTCTCGCTTACGACTATGGCCCCGCCCACCGACAGACAGGAAGCAGGGAACGGGAACAGGAAGCAAGCACTTGACACAGCAGGTCCAGACCACGGGGGGATGAACGGACAAACGGACAGACGGATAAACGGGCGGATGGAAGCGCCCCTCTCTATCTGTGCAGACTCTTACAGAAATGCAGAAGGGACGCAGAGAAAAAACGAAAAAAAAAACTGATAGACAAAAAAAAAAAAAGTTACAGATCCGTATATGTACCAAAATTTGGAAGCTATTTTGCTTTTTTGATCTTTAAACCATGCTCATCGTCATCAAAATGAAAAACAATGAAAAAAGTGTTGCTCTTTGTTACTAGTTGGATCTCATTGTGAAGACATATCAACTTCTCCACCATAAAATAGGATGGCACTTAGTTTTTTTAAATTTCAGATCTCTTGTTTCAATGTTTTTATATTTTTTATCTTCGGGGGAGGGGGCGGGCTGGTCGGGTCAGAGTTTCATTGATTGGAGAAGAACATACATATAAACACGCTCGGACATGCACACCAAGCAGTTCTCAAAAAAACTGTGTCCTCGTCATGATTTCAAAACAAGGTGGCAAATCCCAAGGCTTTTATTCTCCTGTATGTCAGCGGTGGTTTCTGCAGGTGTGAGTTTGGTCAAACGGTTAACCGAGTGGAGTAGTTCATGTGAACTCTGGACTCCCTCTGTACAGCCAGATGACACAGCTGATGTACGTCTAGATGCTTTAAAGAAACGGCTCCTCTGTGCACTATTTGATCCAGATGTTTTACCCACAGTTCTCCTCTCTGGACCCTTCGGCCATAGCAGCTACTTGTGTGATGGAAAAAGTTTCAATTGGCCAGAAGCTGACCTCCACTTGTCTAAATCTGAGTTGTATTAATGCAACCGTCGTCAGGTCCTCAGCCAGTAGGATTCCAGCAGTTTTTGTGTGCGAGTGTGTTTTACGCATCATCTGGAAGACTTCAAACATTTCTAATTTGATCGACCCTCAAATCACGATGCCCTGAAGTGTTGCTCCACGTTTCGTTCATGCAGATGTTCTGGAGGCAGAAATAATCCCAGTGAATAAAGAGCAGATGGGTCGAGCCAAAGAAAACACCCATCGGGTAAAAGAGGTCGACGACGTCAAAGACTGTAGAGCTGAGCTCTGTTGCTGCAATCGCACAACGATCGTAGAACGCTACTGTGTGTCCACCGGGGAGCTTTCTCGCATTGTTCCAGGAGCCTCAATGAGCCCTTTTGTTATTATGTTGTGTATTTGTTCGTAAACAACTGAAACCAAATACACACGAGCGGTTTGTACTTCCTTTTTGATGAGCTGAACAGTTACAGTTGGAGTTAAAAGTTCATTATGTACACACGACTGCCAGCAATGGTTGCTTTGCAGTCATTTTGCGACGAGTTTATGTTGTAGTTTATCCAGGAGGCTGTCTGTAACGGTTTGGCTCACTCGGCCTGAACGCAGCATTAAGAAGGCGGTCAAGCTGTTTCTGAACTCACCCCCTCAGTCTACAGAACGAACACTAAATAGTTCACCCACAGAACTGACATTAAATTAAGGTTTTTGTATACCAACGTTGCATCTCATCAGTACCTAATCAAATGCAGCCTTTGAGAGCACTGAGGAGCGTTCAGGAACTCTGATAAAGTGGTTCGCGAAGTGCATTATTTAGTTTGGACGTGGCCTGGCTGTACTGAGCTGGCCGGCTTAATCAGAGCCAACTTCTAAAAGAAGCGGTGCGCGGGCGATCAGAGAGGAGTCGCCATGTTTGCACTTCTGGTTCCCTTGTCACAAAGTCGGGGGGATTATGGGATGGTTGGTAGTGAAATACGGTCTGTGGTTAACACGTGCTTGCTCGATGAGACGGGGAGGAGGGGCCAAGTTTGAATGCCGATGTAGTTTAGTTTTTTTATAAAGAGGCGGTTGCTAACAAGTGTCTACATGAGACTAAACGTCGTCACATTGAACACGTCATAGCCTCACGTTAGCGCTTTACTTCTGGCAATTCCATCTACGCGTCAAAAAAACCATGAAGTGCTCATTTGTGAAGAGTATCTTGTTGAACAGAACATGTAAGTGTCGTAAACCTGCGTTTGCCACAGAGTAGTTTTTATGCAGTATTCCAAAAAAATGAAAATCCCAAAACGCTTTTTGTAGAGGGGAGCAGCGCGATGCTAGCCGTGTCGTCCCGGAACCACTGATGTCTTTTAAATTGTATTTTGACAAATATTTCGACTTCCGGTGGGCCAGCTTGTGTTCTTTGGCTCTGCCCTGTTGAAGGTTTCAGATAAACCATAACGTAGTGATTCCAGAGCAGCTCTGCCTCCAAACCTCAATCTAAAGAATGTTTTCAAACTGTTTTAATAATACGACCACCCACATTTCCCTGGGATGGAGTCGAGGGCTTCAGTGAGTTTTGGCTGCCTTTACTTAGAAAGAGAGAGACGTCACGTTCTATATGTTTCCCTCTTCATGCTTTCTTATGCCTTTAATAACGCAGCCAATGGTTTTATTCCCCTGTTGAATCTTACTGGCTGATCCCTGGCACAAGGTTGCGATTCAGAATCGAGCTCAAAAGCAGATCCAAACATTAAAGCAATATCTGGCCATTTTCATTTTTGTCTGTTTTTATTAGCAGCTGCTTGTCACAAAGTGTGTTTATAACTACACTTCTGAAAGAAACAGAGATACAAAGATCTGAAGAAGCTAAAGGTCACATGTTGCAGTATTTTATCCACAGCATGACCGTCCTGGTGAATGAACAGAAGATGTCGAGCTGTGTTAAATGTCTTTAAATCGCCTCCATTCTTGTTGCTTTCTTCCCCGTCAACATTCTGCTCACACTTGACTGAGGTTCCTTGCTGACGAGACATTTTATACTCTTTTAAACACAAATTATAGTTACATTTTTGTAATTTCTTTGTAGATTTGAAAAAAAAAAGAAGTGAATTGATGATTTCTTGGCGGTGTTAATTTCCATGTTCTCTACATTTGAAAGAGTTTGTTTTGTTACTTTGATGCTATTGCAAACAGTAAAGGGCGACCCTGTTATGTGAGGCTGAGCGAGGCACCGAGCGTGTGAAGAGTTGTCCCAGAGGAGCGACTGACCACTAAATTAAGTTTTAATAAAGACATGCTTCACTTTTTATTTTACTTTTATCTTTTGGGGAAACTCGGTCCCAGATGAGAATGACTTTCTTCTTGGCTTACAAAGAAAACAATTTACAAAGGAAAAGTTACTTTAAATTGAATAAAATTGTAATTTTTTATTATTTTTTTTATCAAGCCAGGACTCTTGGGAATGTTTCTGGTTCCCCCTTTGTGTTCGTCTGTGTCCAGTGAGGATTCAGAGAGAGTTGCTCTGGAAGCAGATTTAATCTCATTGGTTAAATAAGGACTTAACATTTGAGTCTGAATTGGTTGTGCACAGTCGGGTATTGTGAGCACAGAAAATGATTATTTTGCATAATTGATTATATTTTATAAAATAAACTTTTAGCACCTGAAGGATTTTCTTAGAAAATATAAAAAAAATCTGTTCTCTGCTCAGTCATGTGATTGTCATGTGATTGTGTGGTTGCTCTGTGCGCTCGCGTCCTCTCTGCTGTGCAGCCTCAGCTTCACCTGCATGCTCATCCAGCCTGTGAACCGTGAGGTTCCCTTTCAGAAGGTGATTTCTTATTGGCTGTTTGGTGATGGTACTAATGATGGGACTAGTCACTTGGGCAGTAAAGAAGCAAATAAATACATAAGAGTTATTATAAATACGCAAACTACATATTCTTTTTCTGTGCTAAAAATATCGTAAGCCTCATTGACCGCAGCTGAAGAAACATTTATTCTCTGGTAATATTTGAAATGAAAAGGCAGACAAATCCTCCAGGCTCATCTGGAGTTGTTGAACTTATTTCCATATTTTTGGTTATATTTTCTCGTAACAATTTAAGTTTGTAAAAGTTTAAGCTTTAGGTTGGCTTCACTCAAAGGTTTAATTAAACAAAGAATATGAAATCTGCCTCCAGAGCTCTGCTTCTGACAAACAAACTGCAAATCCATTTATTTTCTCTTGTATCCGTCTGTAATAAATTGGGCGTTTTTTACTAATGGACTTACAGAGATTTCATGTTTTCCTTTTAAGAGTCCTGTGCACTATTTCATCACTTTTTTTTCTTCCTTGTATTTAAAGCACTTGAGCCAAAAGTTAAATGAAAATTTCTCACGCGGGCAACTTCCTGCCACCCTTAGGTCTGTGCCGTCAGTGTGTCTGGGCCCACATGGCTAATGTCGCTGAGTCAACCTTTTATTTGTGCCACCACAACAGACATGTTGGTCTAAGCAGCAGCTCTCCCATGAGGTCTCACAGCCTTTGTGACTTTTCTTCTTTTCTCTTCTTCTGCAACTCGCATCACATTGGTCTGTTATCATTGAAGTCAGATCAGTAAAACAAAAGTCCAGAATAAAATATATTTTGATAAGAGTTTTGAGTTTTTATTTGTGTGTGTGTGTGTGTGTGTGTGTGAGAGAGAAAATGCTGCGTAGTGTCGGCGCTGAACTACCATCCTGGAGTAACAGTACTGTGTCAGTGACAATCATGAATCCATGTGTTATTCATGTCGAAACATACTTTATGAATGGCTTTATTAAACCAATAAAACACTGATTTCAAAGAGCTTGAACCTCCCTCATGTTCCCATCCTCATGCTCGTGCTGTCTGTGCTGCACATCCGACACGACACTAAAGAGACGTGCTTCTTCCTCAGCGTACATTTTAAAATCAGGGATTTTCAAAGTGGGAGATAATGAAACCTCACAGGAGCTTCCCACTGGCTCCGCTCAGTCATCTAGGACTGTAGAGTTAGTGGACTGCACACACTGGAATCTACAGCTAAATTACTTGTTAGTTGTTAGTTGTATAGGGTTTGTTCCTCCTGCAGATGGAAACAAAAGTAAGACCGGACTGAATGTTGGTGGAATAGCGTTGGACAGAACAAACTGTAGTTCACCAGAGTAGAGGATTCCTGTGCTGCGAACCGCCACCGGGCCTGGGATCATTTGAGAAAGGGCAGTGGTGAAACTCATTTTGCAACAAATGATCAAAATAATTATGTGACTTTATAGACTGTCATTTTCTAACTTGATATCTAGGTTTGTTTGTGCACAGGGAGGATAAATGGAGAGCAATCATGTCTGAACCGAAACCTAGTTCCATTTTTATTAAATAAATACCGTTTTTATTCTCTGCAAAGTGCATCGATAGACTCAACCTATAGTTTATGTACTTTTTCATCAAAACGTATTTATATTTTTTATAGTTAGTATAGTACATTCATGAAACTTTGTAAAACTTCAGCACTTTTCATTTCATCAGATTTATAAAGCAGAGAGGACACGTGGGCATGACTTTTTATGTTTACGTTTTCCAACAAATTGTAATATTACTTTTTCTACATAATATGGCTTTTTTATTACTTTTTGTCGACATACTATAAGTATGACTTCATATTTGATATACTAACCCATAGCTTTTTTATTTATTTTTGTGACATATCTTGACACATTATACTTTGTATAATATTGAGAAAAATAAGTCGTAAAAAATGCAATCTGACTTTTTGGCCTTTTAACTGTGGCTTTTTTAATGAAATATTTAATAACTTGCTTTTTATGAATTTTTCCAACGTACTATTCTTTTACTTTTTTTAAATAATATGGTATTCGTTAATACTTTTTTGATATAGTATACGATGACTTTAAAAACGTAATAATTTCAACATGCTATACAATGGCTATTTAATGACATAGTATGATTTTTATTTTACATACATCTTGACTTGCTTTGACTTGTGTTCACCTTTGAAATACTGAAATACTTAGTGGGTTTTTTAAGACTTACTTTTTATGATTGTTTTTACAAGTATAAGATGTAGATTCTTTTTTGACATATTACTTTTTTATGATTTTTAAAAATACATTACCATTACTTTTTTGAAACATACGATTTTTTTGACATGCTATACTACACTAGGATTTTTTTCGACGTAATATACTATGACATTTTTAATGACATTTTTCTATAAACTACATAATTACTTTTTTTTTTTTACTTTTGTCGAAATATACTATGGCTTTTTTTTACTTTCAATAAACTTTACTATGACTTTTTTTTAACACACTTTTTATGACGATACTATGAATTTTCTTTGACTTACTTAGTTACTGTGAGAAACTTCCAACTTGTTATGAATCCGTCTCAATGTAATGCCCATGCCTCTATATGACCTTTATAAGTTGTTTAAGACGAGACCATCAGCGAGAAGATTGGCTATTTCTATAAAGTTTTCCCTCGGTGCCTCTGGTTTAGCGCAAAATCATGCAGGTTCACCAGAAACTCCTTCAGCTCAGACTCCAGACCCAGATCCAGCTTTGCTGCAGCTTTCAACCTGAACTTGTAAACTCTGGTGAGAGGAGAGCTTAGCGCCCGGCAGCAGTGTATCCTCCTCCTGCTAGGAGCCGAGCCCCGCTGGGACCAAACCCAGAGACCATGTTGCTGGAGACCCTGGCCGTATTGCTGGAGGGAAGGGGGGCACTGGAGAACCAGGACTGTGGGACCCCTTCTGCTGTAAAATGAGGTTTTCTAAAGGGACACTGGTGATTGGAGACACTACTACTTTTGTCCACAGGGACGTGTGGACATAATAAACAAAACTCTTAACTCAAACATTCAATTACGTTAGTTTTAATAGGAATGCAGTTATTAATTCATTAAAATAATTTTGATGTCACCGTCCAGTCTCCACAAACTACTGCCCGACATTCTGAGTGAAAACACATCTTCTGTCACCAGATACAGCTCGTCTATACATTTATTTTATTCACATCATCCATGATTACAGTATGAACACGTATATGTAAACCCAGAAGAAATAAATTATTTAACAGTGGTACTGGCACCTACATTGAAATGATAATCCTGCCCTTCTGTGACGTTTCATGTGTTTTAAAGCAGAGCCCTGAGTCATCACGCTGCAGTCACTTCATCTCAAAACTAAATGAACAATCGGACTAATCTGAATCCATCAGAATGCTGAGACGTGGTTCTGTTCAGCTTCTTCACAGTAACAACGAAAATATTTTTCATAATACCCAACTTTGTCTGAAACTCCCAAGAATCATATGACGCCTGACATGTGAGCTGAACAGTATTTTATAGCAGTTTTGATATGAGTTGTTTATACTTTAGTTTGTGTCGACTCAGTTCCTTATTTGCTTGTATATGTTGAGCCGTTATGCTACATAAAAAAAAAGAAGTTATTTTCTGCATTTTAAAGTTTTCTGTGTATTATTTCAACCGTCATAAAACGTTTGAGCATGAGATGCTTTTAAAATATGTGTCCACAGTTACACTTTATATTTTTCCAAAGGCATGAGAATGCAGCGTTTTTAATACCGTTTTAGTTCCTTTGTTTTCTGCGAGTACATAAAACAAAGGAACTAAACACGTGAAACGCCCGTCCTAAAAGTGTCCTCTTCGATCAGACATCGATGCTAGCTGTTAACATGGTTACTTAACTATTATTAACACAAGAAGGCCTTTAGTCCCGTCCTGTCGGTCTCCAGTGGGAGTGGCCTAGCTGAGGATTTTGTGGTAGGGGTGGAGCGGGAGGGAGGAGGTGAAGGCTCTGATGTCGCTGATGAGCGCGGTGTCCTTGAGCAGCGGCGAGGAGGTCGGCAGGAAGGTCAGCTCGCACACTTCACCGTAGGACGAGGAGGCCGGGATGTCGGGGTTGTCGGCGCTGCTTGGTTCTGGTGGGTCGTTCTCCTCCACCCCAAAACCAACGACCTAACCGAGAAAACCAACATGTTGAAGACCGTTTATTTGCTCTTCCTCGGATTGGAAACAGTTCCTCGACTCAAAGTACTGTGTTCTTTAAACCTGGCTCTGTCAAACCATTTTTCTGTACCGACAACAAAAATGTAGCACAAGGAAACTTGTGACTACAGCAGATGTACTTATTGAGTATTTTTTTTGTCTACAATTGAAATGATCCCAAAGACTTACATGTACACTGATCTTCCTGCTGCTGGCGTTTCTGTGTTGGAGGAACCAGAAGACCAGCTCCTCCTGAGAGAACAGCTTCAGAGCCTCGATCTGCAGCGGAGGCCACAACAGGTTAGAACCACAGAGCAGGACCACAACCAGCATCCACACCAACTGTAACCACCTCCACACTGTTTCTGATACACACTATATCCATGTATGAAGAGAAAAGTATTTTACACTTATTATTACATCGCAGGACTATTTTATAAGAATTGATTCGGCTTAGCGCTGTGCACCCAATGACCTAGAAACTTCTCAAATGAATCTCTTGACTCCGGCCTCACTTCTCATACTTGCACCTCCCTCTCACTAGCTAAGAAGTGAGGAAGAGACGCGAGTGAGAGAAGGCAGGAGGTCCGTCAGTATAATGAAGAGCACCCGGAGAGAGAGACAATGAGAGAACTAGGGAGATGGAGAACGAGAGGTAGAGACAGAGAGCAAGGAAGAGAGAGAGAGAGAGAGAGAGCGAGAGCGAGAGCAGGTGTCTCACCTCCTTGTTGAGCCTCTTGAAGACGTACTGCTGTGTGACAACCTCAAACCAGTTGCGGTCCACCTCCTCTCCCAGGTGAGCGTCCTCGCACTCCTTCAGCTTGATGAGAGCCGTCACCTGAGTCCTGAAGGCCTCCTCGCTCAGACCGGACAAACGCTCCCCGAAGCTGACCAGGAACTCCTCGATCTTCGCCTCCACCAACTCGGTGCTGCGAGGAGGAAGAGGAGCGTTTTTAAAACAGGGAAAGAAGCAAACACAGGAGACAACTAGACACCATCCAGGCATCACACCAGCCGCAACGGTCAAAGGTCGACTCACCTGAACTTAGTGGCCTGTGTTTCCACGGTGACGGAGAATCCCAGCACCCCCGAGGTGTTCCTGCAGGTCGGGTACACCTGGTACCTGAGGGATCATGAGGTTTGGTGATTAAACAGCTGTGAGCGCACATTACTGATCTGCACACTCAGCACAAATGACTGCCACTGACCCCAGTGTCTCCTTCGTCCTGAGGAAGTCAAAGCAGGGCTCCTCCATGTGCATCTGTGGAAGTAGCCCAATGACATGCACTGTGAGCCTGATGGATGCACATTTTACAACAACACACCTGGTTTCATTTTAATATCGACAGCAAAACAGCTGGAGTACTTTTTTATTGTTTTAAATCTAACAGTGAAACTGTCAGCTGATTTATAATACTGTTAACAAACACTTTAGAGAATGATTCATGAATTCAAACAACATCTAGCGTTATGATAGTGCTACGTTCTTGTGAGTACTCTGATTAATTCATAAAAATAAATAAAACCGTGAATTTCACCCAGCAGAACTTATATCAAAGTGTTTTCTGGGACAAGAGGGGACTCTGTATGTTGTCACTAGTGTCGGTGAGATGGTGGTAAAAACACTCACCACCATCAGCTCCATCAGAGTGTGTTCTCTGAGGTTCTTCAGGCCCGACTGCAACACAATCCAGATGTGGACGCGTCAACAAGAGCAGAGAGTAAAAAGAAAAGGAAGACCAGACGCCACATTAGTGGTGCAATTCTTAAATACACCATCATTGCTCCGCTGCTGATATCTTGAAATCTTGGCATTTAAAACTGAAACACTCTGCATGAGCAGACTGAAGAAGAGGTTTGTGTAAACTCAACCTTCAAAAACACGACAGATGGGAATATACAGTTGTGTGAAAAAGTGTTTGCCCCCTTCCTGATTTCTTATTTTTTTGCATGTTTGTCACACTTAAATGTTTCAGATCATCCAAGAGGTCACAAAAGACCCCAGAACAACATCCAAAGAACTGCAGGCCTCACTTGCCTCAATTAAGGTCAGTGTTCATGACTCCACCATAAGAAAGAGACTGGGCAAAAATGGCCTGCATGGCAGAGTTCCAAGACGAAAACCACTGCTGAGCAAAAAGACCATAAAGGCTCGTCTCAGTTTTGCCAGAAAACATCTTGATGATCCCCAAGACTTTTGGGAAAATACTCTGTGGACTGACGAGACAAAAGTTGAACTTTTTGGAAAGTGTATGTCCCATTACATCTGGCGTAAAAGTAACACAGCATTTCAGAAAAGGAACATCATACCAACAGTAAAATATGGTGGTGGTAGTGTGATGGTCTGGGGCTGTTTTGCTGCTTCAGGACCTGGAAGACTTGCTGTGGTAAATGGACACACCAGCAAGTCCACCTCTGAATGGCTTAAGAAAAACAAAATGAAGACTTTGGATTGGCCTAGTCAAAGTCCCGACCTGAATCCGATTGAGATGCTGTGGCATGACCTTAAAAAGGCGGTTCATGCTCGAAAACCCTCCAATGTGGCTGAATTACAACAATTCTGCAAAGATGAGTGGGCCAAAATTCCTCTACAGCGCTGTAAAAGACTCATTGCCAGTTATCACAAATGCTTGATTGCAGTTGTTGCTGCTAAGGGTGGCCCAACCAGTTATTAGGTTTAGGGGGCAATCACTTTTTCACACAGGGCCATGTAGGTTTGGATTTTTTTTCCCCCCTTAATAATAAAAACCTTCATTTAAAAACTGCATTTTGTGTTTACTTGTGTTATCTTTGTCTAATATTTAAATTTGTTTGATGATCTGAAACATTTAAGTGTGACAAACATGCAAAAAAATAAGAAATCAGGAAGGGGGCAAACACTTTTTCACACAACTGTATGTGCATCTGAGAGGGTGAGAAGTGTCACGGTGCTCCTACCTGATAGTAGACTGTGACCTCAGAGTTGGCGTCTCCTTTGTTCAGAGATTTCACTTTACAGAGATGTTGCTTCTGAGGGAGCTCCACCACCCGGAACAACACCGGGACCTCAGCCGACAGAGACTGGAACTGGAGCTTACTGGATTACAGTTTAACACGACAATTTATAAAAGTGTCAACATTTAAGTAACTTGAACTTTATCAGATAATTTTGACTTTTGAATAAAACCTCCATAACCAGAAACACTGAAAGTGCAATGAAGAAATGATGCAGAGTACTCACTCAATGAAGTACTGCAGAAACTCTTTGGACTCCTGTTGGAGGAAACAAGGTGCGTGAGATTACAAGCTTTCAACCCGGTTACCTCAACAGCCAATCTTCAGTAAAACAAGTGGACATAGAAACATCTGTGCACCACACTGAAGTAGACTGAACATCTGTGGGTTTTAAAACAAAAACAAGATGTTTAATGAGTTTTGTAGACCACACAATGAATCAATAGTTGCAGTGCAACATCTCAGACAGACGTGTGAACTTCTTAAATAACCATATACCTGTACTTCAGATTTGATATTGTACATAGATAGCAACTGTTAATGCAATTTCTCATACATATCTATATGCAACTCACCAATAAGCAGCTTTGAGATATGAGCACCCTCTGACCCTTACTACTAACCTTGTGTATATATTTGGATTGTGGACTTTTTTTTAATAAAACTAACTAAGAGTAGAGAGAACATTTTTGTTGTTATTTGGGGGAACTGACTGAAAATAAAGGTGTTTGGTTTTGCAGCTGTGCATTTCGGTGTGTCTCACCGTGCTGGTGAAGTTTCCCTGCACCAGCCCCTCAACGTACAGCTCCGCCTTCAGCCCAGTGACAAAGGTGATGAGGTCATCGACGGTCAGACCCTTCGTGACGGCCTGGTACTTCTGAATGACTGACCAGCGGCAGTGCTCCAGGATCAGCAGACGCACGTCCCTGCAGAGAGACGGATAGAGAGGTAAACAAGTCGAAGGTAACCTTCTGTACAGAGCCAGCTGCTTCTCAGGGAGTGCATTCTAACAGACGCACACTCTGCCATTGTAACTGTAACTGAGAGCAGCCAGGCTGCAATGATGGAGTCTCCCCAACGAAGCTACAAAATGAGGACAGTTAAACACTGCCTCGTTAGGAAATGAGGGGATTCTGTCCACTCAAACTCTACGGGGCTTATCATTTCAAACGGATACAGGAAGTGTAGAGTTTGTATTAACAACATAATGCAGTAACAAACATTTAACAGGGCTAAGAGGAGCAGATCAGACAACAAGGAGGATTCAAAGGCCTGTCTCCAAGCTTCAAATGAAGGCAGTAAAAAGACTTTGGTCAATAATTGACAATTTATGGAATTATTAAAAATTGAAAATAGAAGATCCTAATCGTATCATAACAAATTTATACTCTATGATGGTTATATAAAAAGACTGTGTGTGTGTGTGTGTGTGTGTGTGTGTGTGTGTGTGTGTGTGAGAGTGTGAGAGTGAGTGAGTGACAGACGTACTTGCCCAGTCTCTCAGGTTTGATGAGGATGTTGAAGTAGGTTTTCTTCAGCTGCTCAGTGAACATGTTGAAGACGCCCGGCTCAGCTCTGAAGTCTGCCAGATGATCCACGATCAGTTTCAACAGTAGCTGAACAACAAGCAAACAGGGAAGTCAATGAGGTGGAGAGAAATGAAGTGCATTTACTCAAGTACCTCACTTAAAGATGGAGTCTGCGATTCTAATCGAATACACTTTTTTGTGAGATTCATCAAATATCTCCTGGCAGTCTGCTAGCTCTGTGTGTGTGTGTGTGTGTGTGTGTGCGCGCGCACTGAAAAAAACATCTGGTGTTCATTCCCAGCCCTGGCTCTGTAGAACGGGAAACAAACAGATTGGCATGGATCGATCCTCACCGGCAGTTTGTGGTTGAAGCCCTTCAGTCGGATCACCAGCCCGTGCTCTCCGGCCACCAGCTTGTACTCCAGCTGAGCCACGTCGGCCTCGTAGGCCGGCTCCGCCAGGTTGTGAGCCAAGATGTTCACGAAGACGTCAAACAGAACCAGACTGCAAGAGGAAGAACACGGGTGAACACGACAGCAACAGCCGTGGTCGTCGTAGGAAGACAAATCCTGGATTATTGATTTGAAGATGATTCAGCGGTCTCTTACTTCTCAGGACTCTTCTGAATGATGGGGGAGATCAGGTTGAAACGAATATAAGCTGAAAGACAGAAGAAATGTGATCACATTAAATTAGTATTTATTATTTCCCTTCATTTAAAATCCCATGTTTGAGTTTCTAGTTATTTATTGTCATATGCACAACAATTGCAGAAGAGCAGTTGTTGGAAAAAAATAATTTTAGATCTCAGGCTGCCTCTAATGATGCTCATTAAATATGTATAAAAAGATAATCATGCAAGTAAAAAAAAAAAAAAAAAAAAAAAAAGAAAGAAAACTAATTCTCATAAAATGGTGCAGAAGTTAAAATGTAGGACTACATATAAACATATGACAAATGATATTTATATGTGGTAGACAGTAACTGCAAAGTGAATAAACTGAATGCAAACAGTTTTAGTAGTTAAGCACATTTAATGTAATAAATAATAATAAAATAATAAATACAGTTCATGTATACAGCACTGTGCTTTACCTGGCTGAACCAGGATTTAAAAAGTTCTGGAATGGAAAACAAATGGAATAAAAAGTTTTGAGACGTTATTTAAAAGATTCTGCAGCCTCACCATCAGCAGATAAATAAAAAATGAAAGTGTTGACTGAGTGGCAGCCCTGCAAACATTCACACTTCCTGCATTCACCTTTGGGGATCTTGAACTTGTTGTCCTTCTTGTACCACATACAGCCTCGCTCGTTGTTCGTGATCCTGACAGGAAACTCGGTGTCCGGACAGTCGGACTCCTTCAGGGCGAAATCAGACGCTGCAGCACAAAGAAGGAGAAGATGAGGGGAAAGAAAACAAAAGAAAAAGGAACAAAAAAGAAGAAGAACTTCATCATGAATCTGATGGACCAGCTGATGGTGTTGGATTCACGTCTATAGTTGTGATTGTACTGACCGATGAATTTGTTCTCAGCAGGAAGGTGGAGTTCAGGATTGAGTTTGAAGTCTCCCGACCAGCGCTGAGCCCACTCGTCCAGGATGTCTGATGAGACAAAACAAACACACCCCAAGTTTAACTCAAGGACAATTGTCTTATATTTGGTTGCTTAACTCTGGTAAAGATTCTCCTTTCATTTCAAGAGTAAACAAGAGGACACATGGTGACACCCGGACCAAATTATGCAAGTTCATTTTTCTCAGTACTCAGCAGGAAATGAGCTGCACTTAACAATACAGACATTGTCTGTAGGTGTTTCACACATGCATGTGTCTACATCTTAGGATGAATATGTAATACGTAAAATGCATCATTAAATATCAAATTCATATCAACTGACATTAAATATCAGTATTTATTTACCTCAGCCCCCCCGCAGCCCTGAGTAGAATAAGCGGGTACAGATAAGGGATGGATGGATATTTACACTCACAAGTATATGTTTGCAGCAACTCTGGCAACAATAAACTGAGTGCATAAAGATACCAGAAAACAAGAGTATAGAAAGAATACACTTTGGTGTGTGCGTGTGTGTGTGTCGTACCCTCCATGTTGTAGCTGGTACCGAACCACTTCTCTCTGAGTGGACATTGACCTTCGTTCTCTGGCGACAGCAGCAGCAGATTCGCTCTGTCGGGAGTCAGCGGGGACAGAGCGGCACTGATCACCTGAACACACACATAAAAACACACACACACACACACACACACACACACACACACACACACACACA